CCACATGGGTGGCCTTCCCTCTCATTTTGTGCAGTTATGAAAATTCAGTGAAAACACTTTTTAAGGAGCTGGGAGAAACATGTGAAGCAAGAAACCACAGAAACCCTAGAAAAAGCCCAGTTGCCTCAGAGAAACTTAGCTGGGTATATGATTCAAATGGAGTTGCAGGTTGGGGATCTCAGCAAGTCTTAAAATAGAAGCAAAGATCTTTAGAATGTGGACAAGATTTGAACCTACTTTTTGGGACAACTGCTATTCATATATGAAGTGAGTACTAATGAAAACTGACAACAAGCTCATTTAAAAAAGAAAAACATCCAAATGATATGCAATTGGGTATAGAGATCTTTGGCACTCCAACTTCAACCAACAGAAGAGTGTCATTTGGTGGATTAATTCTTTAATAAGGGTTATATTATTACCAGGAATTAAGTGTTGTCTCTTCTTTATCATAACTTTGCTGCTGGTGAGTCTCGTCTTTCAAACTTGTGTATGTTCACAATTTCCCTTAGGTAAACAGAGTGGCACAGAGCAAAGGAGAACAGTTTTGGGTTCAGCAAATCACACCTTTTCTGTAGTAAAAGTTGTGAAAATTCTACTTTTATAGTTTCACTTATCTATCCTTTGCATTCTTTCTTATCAAGGATTATACTATTCTTAGTTAAACTAATTTGATTAAACCACAGATGCTGAAAACAGCATTGAACTGTCACAGAACAGAAAGCTAGACTACCTGTTGGTGGTGCAAATAACATACTATCTCTATTTCTGGGCCAGCATATTTAATGGTAGGATCGAAAACTGGATGGAGATAACTATTTATGCTACAAGATGACTATCATAAAAGACAATTGTTTGCTTTGTTTTTCTGCCTAAAAGTTAAGGTCTTATTTGCAAACTGGATTGACAGTTTTCAAGAAAAATAGTGGTTTAGGTACTATTAGGTCCATAGAATTAAGAGCCTCAAAAAGTGCTGTAGTTTTGTCTTTGCATTTTTATTTGACATTCTTTGGAGCAAGCTAATTATTATCTGCTGCACTAACTAAGCATGATGTCAGAAATGTTCATAACAGATTTCAAAGGAAATGATGAGAAAAGAGAGCTTGAATATATAGCTCTTTTCAAGCACCTGTCACCACGTAGAGAAATCTATGAGGTAAGTCTGGTGCTGGCAATTATGCATAATACATTCATCAGACTGAGCTCAGCATTTCATACCCTGGACTTGTTACTTATCCTAATTGTATGGCAACCAGAGGGATTGTTGATGGAGTAGAAATAACAGAAAGATCATCTAATTTTAGCAGCATCATATGAACTACAGCAGCTAACAATGACTCAGCTTCATTTGACAAGGCAATACTTCACAGAACATAAAGTAATGCCTCGAGTACTATAGTTAGAGTTCACCTGGACTGATATAATATGCAACATTATCACACATTTGGTATTTTACAACTGCCTTAACACAATTTAAGGAAAGACGCGTGGAAGTACTTTAGAAACTAATACGGTTTTGGTGATATACATTTTCATAAGCCACAGCATACATCCATGGCTGCAAACAGATTGCAAGGAGTTTGACCACATTTTTGCTATGTAAAAGAAGTAAAGTGGGGCATATTATAGAGAAATCCAATCAAGGGGATTTTTGTCACCCACTGAAATGGATGGTAAGTAAATTTAGGAGAGACAATACTTTTTCCCAGTCAATTTATGATGTGGTGATGGCCATTGCTGTATTTTAGAGAGCTTTAAGGGGGGATTAGACAAATTCATGGAGAGCTTCCACATTCAGAGACAGTTGCCTCTGAATATTAATTGCTGTGGGAAAGAGCGGGGAGGGAAGGTCTGTTGCTTTCATACCCTACTCTCTAGAAGTGACTGGCTGGCCACTTTAGGAAGCCAGATGCTGAGATAGATAGATGCTGACCCAGTAGGGCTTTTCATATGCTTATGAAAGCTCCTACTACACGAAAAAAGCCCCTCCACCCAGCTAATTATCTTGAGTTCATAAAGTCATTAAAATCACAGTTAAACTTGAAAGTTACCATTAAAAATGGTTGAAACAGCAGAATTCATCACGAGGTCTATGCAATCCAAACCACCACCACTGGCTGAACCGGAAGTGGGGAATCATTATAGATGTTTATTAGTTTAGTTTGGCTAAGGGGGATTCCTAACAGCTGTTATTAGGAATGTTCTTGGTACTTACTTGATTATCTCTTTGCATCTTATCAGGTTCTTCCATGGTTCTCTGACCTCCTGTACATATTTTTTCTGTTACAAAATCTTACTGTCCTTTAGGCACCAGGCCAAAATATATAGTTTTACCCAGTTTGTTAATTGAATGGTTTCACCTATTGGTTATTTTTATTCTCTGCATCTAGCCTGAGGACTATTTCATGAAAATTATTTTAATTCACTAAATATTGTTTTATGCTGATTTTATCACCTAGCTTGTTGTTTATTAGGGAAAGTTCTTTTTTTTTTTTTTTTTTTTTTTAATCCCCCGAAGGGTAGCTTTATTGATTTTTTATTACACCTACGTGACTACAAAAAGGAAAGAAAAGAGAGGGAGAAAAAATGGAAGGGGGGGAAAAAAATAACAAACTAAAATAACAAACCCCAGGATACAAACAGTATAAAGAAAGAAAACCCACACTATAACTAAAAACCCAAGAAAGTAGGGTCATTAACAGTTAGTATGCAGTTAGTTATAAAGATTAATGCTTTCATTAAGTCAAGGAATTTAGGAGATTAGTTAGTCCATTTTGTTGTATATCTAATTTCTTCTCAGTGTGCACATAGACTTCTTCCAGCTCATCCATAAGTCTTTTTAGTTCATAAGTGCTATTTGGCAACTCTTAGCCGCAAGTCATATGCTTCTCTGGCCGTGCCTCCTTCTGCTCCAAGTAGGTCTCTGTCCGTCTCTTCCAGGTCAGCTGCCTGGCCTCCTCCGTCTTGCTGCTCTTCCTCTTTCTGTCCGAAGAATTGCTTCAACCATTCTTCTGCTTTTAACACCGAGTCGATTTTTTCTCTTTTGTCTCTATATTTGAATTGGACCCCTTCTGGAAAAAGCCAGGAGTATTGAATTTGGTTGATCTGAAGTGTTGAGATGAGTTCTTTGTACGCTTTTCTTTTCTGTCGAACCTCAAATGGAACGTCCTTAAGGACCCTGATACTTGCTGATCCCATTTGCAGGGGTTTGTCTGCTGTTGCTTTGAGAATATCATCTCTTGTCTGTCGTCGGAGAAATTTGACCACGATCTCGCCCGGCAGTTTGTTTTGCTTAATATATTTAGAGTAAGAACGATATGTCACTTCTATCTCTGCATGCGCTTCAGCCGTTGCAATGCCGAGCGATAGAGCGATTAGCTCAGCTGCCACATCTTTCAAAATTTCTCCTGTCGTCTCAGCCACCCCTTGGAATCTAAGGGTTTTATTCGCTTTGTCCATTTGTAGGTTCAATAGCTTCCTTTCGTGTAGATCCTGCTTTTGTTCCATCAGACCAACTCTTTTCTTCAGCTTTTTAGCATCATGTGTGGTCTCTTTAAGTTTTTCATCAGTTTGGATCGATTTTTTCACAAGCTCGGTGATCTGCTGTTGCTGTTTTGCCATGCTCTGGTTTGAGGCAGCAATCAATTGGTTAAGGCCATCGAGTCTTTCATGAATGGGCCGAAGCAGCTCTGTTAGTGTGGAGAAAACATCTCCTTCCTCCACTCTCGGACTTTGAGAACCACGCCCCCCTCTTACTCCTCTCCCTCGGACGCCGGCCATTTTCCGCTTTGTTTATACTAAAGAGTGCTTTTTCACACTTCTTCAGCAAGTGCTGGTTTATCCGCAAAAAACAGCTAAGTCTCTGGCACGCTTGAGTGATTAATTGTCTTCTCCCCCTCCCCGTCTCTTTAAATCACAGTTCGGTTTGTTTACGTCTGGGATTCCTCCCGACGCTGCTGAGGGTGGGGGGGGGATCGGAACTCACTTTTAAAGCTTCTTCGCTCGTCTCATTCTCCAGTTCCTTGACAGTCTGATCACAGACTCCTTTTAATCATGCTTCATTCGCTGACCCGCTTGCTTGTCCCGATCGGCATTCAGCTATGCTCGGTAAAAACCGAGCCTCTCAGGGGGTGGACCGAATGGGGCAGGGAGGAGCGCCTCAATTCCCCGGCTTCAAGCCGTGGAAGAGGTCGCCCCTCAAGCGCCCCCAGCTTGGAGCCCCACACTGAGGCTCACCTGGGGGTGCCACTTGAGGTGACACCCCTCCAGCACCCCTGGAGCGCGGAATGCCTCCCCCGTTCAGGAGAGAGCCTCCGCCATCGCTGAAGCCATAGACCGGAAGTGTCGTTTATTAGGGAAAGTTCTTATAATTGGTTTTTTCTTTGCAAACCACCTCAAGTAGGTCTCTGGAGAGGCCACATGTACATTTTTAAAGTGGCTTCAATGAAGTGAACTCTGATTTATGAAAGGCTATGCCAGAATAAATTTGTGCCACCGTACTTTTGTTTCATTTTGCTGTTACAGATTAAGACGGCTACCTATCTGGAAATCAAACGTTCAGCTTTTCAAGAGGAGGCGCTGGTAGAATGGCAGGCATTCTCCTCCTCTAGCCCGTTTTTCCTGGCTAGAGCGTTCAACTTTCAGCAGGTCGTGTAAGGACGAGGCCCGATCGAGGCAACGCCGCTGACGTGAAGTCCTTATGTACCATAATGGCTCTCGGAAGACCACAGACTACTACTCCCAACACGCACCGCTGCCAACTACATTCCTTATGTCTGGAAAGGGAGGGGGAACCCTGATCCATGAGAGGCCGCGCCCTGGTTAAACTACCAAAACGCTGAGGAAAAACTACAATTTTCTCCATTCCCCGCGCGACCTTGCGCCTACGCGTCTACAAAACGCTGAACACTATTGGATGTTTGGAAGCCGCGCCTCTATACGTCACTCTTCCCGCCTCTGCCTCAGCCGGGCTCTGTATAAAAACCGCGTCGGCGGCACCCTTGCGCCTTTAGTTCCTGGCGTCTGAGAGGAGAAAGATGTATCGATTCCGTTCACGGGCATCCACGGGGTTTTCTGCCGCTGCTACAGCTTTACCTATCGCTTGTCTTCCTCAATCATATCCGCTGCCTCGGTCTGGGAAGCCGGCCTCACAAAGACGTTTCTATAGTAAAAAGCGCTCTTGCTCTTCCATCGGTTGATTATCGCTGCCGCTCGAGAAAGAGAGAGAGAGACAAACCAGGCCGGAGACCGAGAACCCGGTGCGGGAGCGCCAGGAGAATCCGCGCGGAGTCGTTGTTCGTATAGGCCGCAGCCATGCCCAAGTCGAGGCGGCGAGGAGGAGGAAACCCGCGCGGAGCATCAGGTGAGAGCCAATGGGCGTGCTGCGCTGCCGCGCGGCATTCTGGGTATTATAGTTTTCTCGCCCACTGATGGTTGAAAACTACTCTGGGCTCCATAATGTTATGTGAGGAGTCTTGAGAGGGTCGGGAACTGGTTATGGTGTTACGTTAGGTCCGAGCTCAGCTATTTTGACATCTGTCGGAAAGACAGAGACGGGGCTCCGCCCGTTCAAAGTTAACGATGTCACTTCCGCATTAGGGCACAGAGTCTTTTGTCCCAGGTTAACTAGCTGCCGAACTCAAAAGAGAACCGGAAATGAGTAGTGTAGCGCCGAGCAATAAATCGGGAAGTCCCGGTTCGAATTCCACTTAACGTCATGAATTTCCTCGGTGATCTCAGGCATGTCTTCTCTCCTTGTCTGCTATTGGCAGCTTAGTGATAGCTCTTTTCACCATATCATGGGATTGTTGTAAAGATAATGCGTGTAAAGCAGTTTTAAGCCTTCATAGTGCTGTTCAAATGTGAAGGTTTGTTATTATGTTTCTAAGATGCAGTGATAATTTACAGTGTCATTGTAAAGGTTATGACACGATTTTATATGTGTATGTATATATATAGAATGGTGCAAGTCCTTGATGGGGATCTGTAGAATACCACATGTGACCTTTGGGTCATTTTATTCCGCATTAATGCGATGGTATTGTAAAGCAGAATGAGTCATATGGATGGTTCTGGATTAGTAATTTCTAAAGATAATACTAGTAATTACAGCGATCCTAAGCAGCTGGAATGATCTGACAAAGGCATGCAGTTTTTGGAAATATGGAAAAATTTACATAAGAACCATCATATGATCGTGCTATGTTCTATATTTTTCATTTGGATGTGAATAAACTAAGACCTTTAACCACCACATGAAAATAAAGTGAAAATGTCTCTATATTTGCAGATATATATATTTTTGTGAATGTATATTGAATTTTTTTATATTGGATATGAAACTGATTGATACAATATTATGAGATTTTCACTCAATAATTGGTGTACAACATTCTTTATTTTCGTGCGGTGGTTACGGGTCTGTACATCTGTATCTACCGTGACCTCTCCCCCTTGTTTCATATTTTTCATGTGTACTAGAAAATCCAAGATTCAGTGACAGGGATTGGAGAACTACTGCAGGGTTTCCCCAAACAATGTTAGTTTCAAAAGTAACTGCAAACCTAACGTCATAGGCACTAGTTAAAAAAAAATTCCAGACAAGATGTAACTCATGCTTTAGAAACAACAAACCAGTTTCTAGTAGGCAGTGAAGACTGAAAACTGATAAATGGGTTAAAGTAATTTCTGTAAGGGAGACTAGAGTTGCCAGCCTGAGTAAGACCTCTGTCTTAGAACTTCACAATTACCTATGAAAGTGAGGGCCCATCTTTGCATTTGGGGTGGAAACGTGCAAGGTATGAACTTACAAAGCATTACTTGTAAATGCAACCAGTACTTAAAGCCTGTGCTAGCCATTACAATATGCTTTCTATTGATGTAATCTTAAACTGCCGGTGCTCTTTAAAATACTGTAGGAGAAAGCTGACAGCTGAAGGGTCATAATTGCTTAAATTATCCACAGAAGCAAATGAAAATTGTTATAAGACTGTTGATAGATGCCATCGGAGAGACAAAAGATGTCAGCCATTATGAAAGGAAGAGTGGTAACTAGAAGCTTGAAAAGCCATATTCATTATTAGACACTTAGAAAATCTCAGTGTGGCATTAATACCTGGTTGTTGCTATAAATAGTACAAGTCTGCATGAGACAGTACAGAGCTTACTCGTTGCAAGGACATTTCAGTAACACCAGAGTTCTAATCCACTGATGTGTGTTGCAGTTGCAGTCTTTCATAATGGAACTGGAAAGCTACTTCCAGGCACCTTTTCCAGGCCAGAATGTGTTTTCTCTCTTCCTGTTACCTAACTTTGATGTTGTATTTTCCTAATCTGGCAAAACAAATGTTTGTGCTTAATCTTCTATGCATATGGAAGGTTTAAACTGCTTTACACACATTAAGGTCAGATATTAAAAGTGTTTAAATGTGATGTATATAGCATAGAAGCTAATTGGAGGATGCTTGTGTGACAGAACAAGGGGTTTTGAAAGAAACAAACTGTTTTCCCCTTGCCCTCTGGCTGTATGCTGGCCATTTGTTTGATGTTCATAATGTGTGAATTTTTTTTAAAGAAATGTTTTTTCTTCCCTGGCAAGGCTGTCTTTTGGCCAAGTGGCAGGTAACACAGTCTGAAAGGATGGGGAGCAGAAGCAAGTGTTAGTAATCTGGAGCAATATGGTTGCTTCTGCTTCCTATCATTTTATGGAGTATAATGCTGGGAGGTTACAATAATTACTATCCTTATTAACAGTATAGCTTAAAAGGTGGTCTGCTGCTAATCAAGCTAGAGTGCATTTCTGTGTCTTGCTGAAATACTCAGAGGCTGCAGATATTAATTGTGCCTGCAGTAATGTTCTAGTTTTATGAAGTCAAAATGGATCAATACAGTATGAGACTCCACGTTAGGCAGCTTGATAGTATTTCCTAGCCTTTCATATCTGTTTTACATTTTCCCATTTTAGGTGCCCAGCACAAAAACATGCAGCCTTTTAGTGATGAAGATGCATCAATTGAAACTATGAGCCACTGCAGTGGCTTCAGCGATCCAGCTAGCTTCACAGAGGATGGTATGCTGTGCCTTATAAAAAAAATCTGTGAGAGAAAGAAAACTCGGTGTTTTCCCCTCTTGAAATGGAGAATTGATCAGAATGCAGTGTTAATGCCAAAACAGTATACTACATAAAAACAGTATATTATACAAAATAGTATACTGCATTATGGTATACTGCATCTGGGCATCTCCCTCCCCCCAATAATTCTAGATACCTTTTCCCTCATCTTTGTGACTATTTAAGGCTGAAGCCCACCAAAAAGCAAAAATGCACGTGGAAAATGCCTGCATCGCTCCCTGTCTTGCTCTTCTCTCTGGGTTCAGAAACGCAAGGTGGAATTGAGATGTGTTAATAACTTGTTGCTGCTGTCTAAGCAGCACTCTATTGGTCTGCCTGCATGTTAGATCTCCTTCAGTAGTATGAGTTCTTAGAAGAGTGAAAGGAATGAAAGCCTTGTGTGCCATTTTCCCTGAACTCACAGGAATAAAGAGGTGTGAATGGGATGGGGACAGGAACAGCAAGGAATGGACTGAAGGGAGAAGACAGACATGTCATGTTGCAGGCAGAAAGTAGATATAGGGAAAAGAAAGGAGGCTAGCCAAGAGGGGGTGGCATAGAAAAGGGCACTTTGGTGTGTAGAGAGAAAGAAAGGGCATAGTGAACAGAGGGGGCTGTAGACAGACCTGTGGCTAGAGAAACAGACAGCTAAGAGAAGAGTCGCTTGAGAAGCAGTAAGTAACAGGACTGAAGAGACCTGGGAGTGATGCTGGAGCAGAAAAGGGTGCAAGTGAGAGATGAGGCTGCACAGAAGATTTTGCCATCAACCAAAACCAAGAAAATGGGCTTAACAGACTACTTTTTTACAAAATGAATTAGGACATATATGTTTTTCTACCTTTAACATAAGAATGGAATTAAAATACAAGAGGTCTACATGGTGACTTTGGCTGTGCATCCTGATCTAGAAATGTGCAATAAATACTAAGCTATTCTCTCCCCCCCAAAAAACCCCAACAACACCACAACCCTCATCAATTAGTTCATAATTGAAGTAGACCAAAGTTCACTACATTGTTATGTCATTGAGGATCTAATTTTTCTCCGACATGTTGGGGAATTTTAAGAAATGGAATGAATAGGTGTGAAGGAGCAATGGGTGTTCTATTAGTGCAGAAGCCCTGTGTTATGGTTTGTTCAAGAACCACCCTAGGGTTGTAGCAATGAATAACTAAAGCATTCAGAGAGATACTTTATGAGAGTGAGAAAACAAATGGTTATTCTGTGCCCGTGGTGGCATCATAGCTGCTTTCTGTAGGTTGCATGTCTAATTTCTGGTAGTAAACATCTTAACACCAGAATTTTCATCTTATACAGTGGCTGAAATTGACGAAGAAGCTACACAAGAAGAACTTGAGTACAAACTGAAGGATCTCATTGATCTAACATTGGACAAGAGGTATGAGAAGTCTGAAAAGATGAATTTGATAAGCAGTGGTTAAAACTAAAGATGCTGCCTCCTCATGGGTCCTTGGAGCTTTAGAGTTGTGAAGTGTACCATTAATAAAACCAACATACATAAAACAATTGATCCATAAAACAACTTTACATAAATACAATAAATATAAGTAAAAGCGGCTCGGTATGTGAGCAAGACCATTATGTATGTGAGCATAACTATTAACTTTGAAATTTGAGAGGTTCTGAGAACTTACTACCTTAATGTAAAAGTTAGTTTTTAGTGAGTTAGATAGATGAGATTGTTTAGTAGTGGGGATAAGTGATCCTTGTAGTTATGATTTCCTTTATTGCTAATTTTTCCTGTATTTGTGGAATTAGATTCCCCATTTATCAGTGGAGGGAAAAGGTGAGTTGTGGGGAAGGGAGATATGAATGTTTGTACCCAAGAGGATATGAAGACAGAGATTGGGTCCATGTCTCAGGCAGCCTTAATCAAGGCTGAATGGATTATATGCCAGGATTAGGACTTTATAAATTTTAACTTTGCAGGTCTCAGTCTTCAATATGCTGTGCACTGTGTCTGTATTTATTCTGTCCCAAACTTCTGGAAGAGAGTGTGTGAGTGTATGAAGGGCAGTGGATTCTAAACCCTAAAAAAAAGAGATTACTTGAAATGGGCAGTATATAATTTTCAGATGACATTTTGTCATGGGCCTCCTTTGTGTCCCCAATAGTGCAAAGACCAGGCAATCAGCTCTGGAGAGTCTTAAAAATGCCTTGACATCAAAAATACTGTACGAGTTCATCTTGGAAAGGAGAATGACGCTAACAGATAGCATAGAGCGCTGCATAAAGAAAGGTAATTCACCCCAAAACCTTCCCTAAATGGCAAATTCCTCTTCTTGGGGGTTAATTGCTTTCAGGCTTAATTCTATAGCAAGCCATTTTTTTTTTTATATAGGCAAGAGTGATGAGCAACGGGCAGCAGCAGGACTGGCTTGTCTACTTTGTGTACAGCTGGGCTCAGGAATTGAAAGTGAAGAGATCTTTAAGACCCTTGCTCCAGTACTGAAGAAAATCCTTTGTGATGGAGCAGCAAGTGTACAAGCAAGGCAAGCTGTAAGTATAAAATGGGACAGTTGGCAGAAACCATGAGCAGGTTTAAATAGTTAATAGCTTGGGTTCTAAACTCACACTTTTGATGTTGGAGTGCTGAAATCTTCCAGTGGTGAAATGTGGGGTTGGGTTGGATGTTTCTGTGATGGCTTGATCTAAGAAAGGTGCCCCAGAGACAAAGCAACCAATGAGAGAGCAGTGCTGTAAATCCATCAACGGCGGCTATACTGATGGAGTTAGGAGGTGACAGAGAGAAATGAGGTGGACAAGATGGAGTTAGCTATCACATTTTGAGGGTTAGTTTAAAAGAAGGATTAATATTTATAGGATTAATATTTATCTTAAGTTGTATGTTCTTTTTAAATAAACGTTGCTCTTCACATTCTGGAAGAAACTGTCTTGCGCCTTTCAGTTTTACTTCAGTGATTGTTCCAGGCTTGGATGGGTTTTTCACTCAGAACCAGAGCCAATCTCCTTAAATCCAGTTTATATCTCCTTTAATTTCCTGCTGGGAGCCATGATGCATTGGTTAGGCTGGAAACTGAAATTGTGACAGGATGGAAGAATCCTATGTAGAGTTGTGACTAACCCCCTAGCCCTAGGACATGAGTCACAAACTCGTCATGTCATCTCTTGCATCAGAGAACATATATTACTGTGTTGTTTGATGTTTAGTCTTGAAATAGTGAACAAGTCATGTCTGCTCTTTATCATTGTTTTGCAGCTGTTGATGGTTGACAAAGGGTAATTTCTTGAAGAAGTCTTCAGCATAATTGCCACAACAAATAATCCTTTGACTAGAGCTAGGGTCAGTCAGCAGGTGGTGAATGCTTAGAAGCAGAGTGCAACAGCATCCTTAAATTCCTTAATCATCCAAGATAAGGTCAAGTTATTTGTTGACCCACTGGTCTTCTCTGGCTGCCACAGTTTTAGAAATTTCCCTTTTTTGCTTTTCAGTAGCCTTCTTAGAAGCTTGTGGCTAGCAGTGCTTAACTGAACTGTTAAATGAAAGTAACATGTCAAGCAAGGTACATTAGACTGCCTAAGAATAAGGATGTGTAAAGTGTTAGATGACTAAGCAAATGTTAGACAGGATAGAGGAGTATAAGGTTGTAGGCTAGGTATTAGTCACTTTGTGGGTTCAAAATGTCAAGTGAATGCCTAACAATAAAATCTCTAAATTCTTCCTTCTCTTGTCTAGTGTGCTACCTGCTTGGGAGTGTGTTGCTTTATTGCCACTGATGATATTACAGTAAGGAAACTTTTAAAGGTACATTTTGTTATTTTATGGAGAATTAGAGCATCCAGTTCAGCAACTTTCTTGGCCTGTTCTTTAAAACCAGGAATTGTATTCAACTATGGAATGCCTGGAAAATATCTTCACCAAATCCTATCAGAAAGAAAGAAATTCAAATGGAATGTCCAGCACTCAGAACACAATTCTTCATATCAGCGCTCTGTTGGCATGGACCCTTCTGTTGACCATCTGCCCAATGAATGAAGTGAAGAAAAAGCTTGAAATGTGTGTATTGTGTTCACTTGGAACCCATCTTGGGAGTGGTGCTTCAGGCAGAGAACAACCCTAAGCAGAGTCATAGCCTTCTAAGCTCATTGCAAGTCCATGAGGCCAGAAGGGTGTGACCCTGCTTAGGACTGCACTGAGTGACTTATTTTTGTGTGTGTGTCAGATAACTCCTATCTTACAGATGAATAAGAGGCTTCTGTTCTTTCCCCTAGGCATTTGCATAAATTTCCTCTTCTGTTGTCCTGTGACGATGTAAACATGAGGATTGCTGCTGGGGAAACACTAGCCCTTCTCTTTGAACTAGCAAGAGAAACAGACGGGGTAGGTTTAAAGAACTGTATCAAAGGCAAATTAATTGGCAGTGTTTGGATTTGCAGTGTGTTTTAATATGCTTTGGAGCATTAGTTGCATTCTGATGAATAAATCAATATGTGACTTGGTATTGAGAGTTTTTAAATACACATTATTTAACAGAGTTGTTCTTTTAGCTGTAAATGGATCCCGCTTCCCTAGTTTGTTTTAGACCTTCTGTTTCAGAACTCAGAATTGTAACTTTCCATTATAGCAATATAACAGTGATTTGTAGAAAGCAAAATAGTGTTAAACAGTAGCAGGTAGTCTTGCTCTACATTAGTTTGGCATTTGTGTCCTCTTGAATATGGAAGATGCAGCAGTGTAAGCCTGTAGTGTGGTGTGTGAACGTTGCATATGTAAGTGGTACCCCACTGGTCATATAGAAAACATGCTTTTTTGAGTCTGCTTAAGTGTTTGAGACTCCCATAATGTACTATATCTGAGTTCATTTTTTCACTGTTGCCTGACTGAAGAAAGTAGTGTTAAGTTAGCTCTGTGTCTGTCTTGGGAAGGTATGTGGAAAAACTGTCTAGAGGAAGAGTAGCTCGCTGTACACAAGTTGGCACACCCCAGTGCATTGTACAGTATCTAAACCTGGGCTTGGGTCCTGTGGAGGGTTTCCCAGGATGGAGGAGGTATTTTATGCAGATTGCCCCTTGTGCTGCGGTCGGACCTCCACCTTCCCCCTCATGCTGTACCTGGGGGATCCCCTGTCCATCATTAGCAGCATTTCTGGGGCCAGTTTTAGGCTGCTGCAGGAAGGCAAAGAAAATCTTCCACTGGTGGAAATGCCTTCTGTTGGAGGAAATAATCTGCGTGATTCAGTTAATCCACTGTTCCGGTCTGTGTAGTTGTTCCTTTTGAGTTGCAGTTTGAATCTGAGCTATAGACCTTTAATTTTGAAGTGAATAGATATTCAGGCCTTCCGTCACTTACGTAGTGTTTTGACTGACGTTAATGCTCTCTGACCTCTGCATCAACTCCTGGACTGTCCTTGCTTGAGTAACAAATTACTCTTCACCCTACTTACTGTTTCAAGCCTACATACAGCTCTTGCTAATACATCTGTTATCTTAATCAGAGAAGCAGCTGACATGGCATTACACATGCTCACGTGATAAGTAAGTTGGACACTGGGAACTGGGGCTGGGTGAGAGCAGAGTGTGTGGAACCAGGAAAGGGGAAGAAAGTGAAAGGTGCTCAGTACTGCTGCTTGAGATATAAACTGTGTGGGATGCGACAGGGGAAACACGTTTGCTGGCTCACTTCCATTAGTCATATGCAGGGTGAGGACCCGCTTTACTAAAACTGCCAAACCCAGAATGCTTTCAAGAGCTTTTCACAATAGACCAGTTAACAGATGGCTGCATCCTATACAAAGCGTCATTAGGCTATGCCAATAAAAACAACTGCAAGGCTACTTTTCTATAAGAGGTTCTGCTGTGAGCCAATTGATTTCAAAATGTAGTGTCCTGTTTCAAGGGAAGGCTCAAAGGAACTGTTTACTCTGAATTGTGGAAGTTACAGTTTTTAAGTGTGATCAGCCTTGATCTATGTTTACTGAATAATAGCATACTGTACTGCAGTATAATCACTTTAAAATAAATGATACTTGAGTTACGATAATAAGTAATGAACCATTTCAAGAGTTCTGGGTTTCTGAAGCTTGTGCCCACCTGTAAAATGACATTGTATTTAACTGTTGCTTCTCTTTTCTTGGGCTAGGATTTCTTTTATGAAGATATGGAACCTCTAACACAGAAACTGAGGGCTCTGGCTACAGATGGGAACAAGCACCGTGCCAAGGTAGACAAAAGAAAACAGCGATCCGTCTTCAGAGATGTCTTGCGAGCTGTGGAGGTAAATACCAATGGAGTGTGCATTGGGTAAAATGGACTTCATATTTCAAAATGCCATATCTTTTGTGTGGAGAGGAGATGTTGAACATTTGATCAGTTTCACTGTGGAACAGGCGCAGGACGCTTTATTTTATGTAGACAAACTGCCATCAGAGGGCAAATGATCTAAGAATGCAGGCCAAATCAGGTAATTATGTGGAGTTTTATTTAACTTGAAAATGGGAAGAGTCATGGGCGATCTATCTAATGACTCTCTTCCCCCTCTTCTGTGGGCTCAGCAGAGACCCTCAAGAACAGAATGAGGGACCAAGTGAGGACGTCTAGTGAGAGGAAAGAATCTCTGAAAACACCTGTCCCTTCAGCAGTGGAAATGCCCTTCTGGCTTTGGAACCAAACAGTTGGATATACACTATAGAAACTTCAGAGCTTTGTTATTGTCCAGTTGTCTTTTTCCACAGGTGCAATCTTTTAAATCTGATTTGGGATTGCATTTTATAAGTGAAAATATTTTAATGTGCTTTTTCCAATGACGTGGCTACTTGAAGTCTAGCCCTTGGTTTCTAGGCTTGATGTAGTGGGACCCAGATATATAAGCCTATTAGTAGAAAGAGGTTGAATCATACTACGCCAGTTTTACATTGCCTTTATTGGTTGTCAGTGAGTCTCTGGGCACAATCCAACATGTTAGCTTTGTCCCATAAACCAGTAATGTTTAAAGTCCAAGGTATCTGGGGAAACATTCTCTCATATGACATAACACACATTGTGATTCAAGGTCTGTCAACATAGCTTCGCTCAAAATGTCTGAAGCGTGGCAGCCACCAGGAGCAGGACCTTCTCAATTACTTTCCTTGCTTTGTGGGATGCCCTGAGAGTTGCCCTCATTTACATAACTGTTCAGCAGTAGCTGAACAACTCCAGACTTTCCTGGATGACATCGGCATTGGACCCATTCCAGTCCAGCTTTTGCCCTGGCCACAGGACAGAGGCGGCGTTGGTCGCCTTAATGTATGATCTCCATAAACAGCTGGATCAAGGCAGGGCAGTGCTGTTGTTGTGGCTTGACCTCGCAGCAGCGTTCAACACAGCTGATTATGATCTTCTGGCTCACTACCTCCCTGACTTTGGAATTCGTTAGGTGGCCCTTCAATGGCTCCTCCTCATTTCTCCAAGGTTGCGGGCAGAGGGTGGCACTGGGAGAGGATGTGTCCTCTAGGAAATCCCTGCTATGCTGGGTTCCACAGGGGACACTCCTCTCCCCCATGTTATTTAACATCTATATATGCCCCCTTGCTCAGCTGGCAGATGACACCCAGTTGTATCTGTTATTAGACGGCCACCCATCTGCTGCCCCGCAAAATCTGGCTGAGGGTTTGGAGGCTGTGGAGGGATGGTTAAAAAAGAGCAGATTGAGACTGAATGCAGCAAAGAAGGAGGTTCTGCGGCTGGGAGGGAGAGCTTCAGGTCTGGAGGCCCAGGCTTCCATTTGACAGGGCACCATTAAGACCGGTACTGTTCGTCAAGAGTCTGGGCGTGACTTTGGATGCCTGCTTAACTGTGGAGGCCCAAGTCATGTATATTGCCAAACTTCCATGTTTGCCAGGTACGGCAATTGGCTCCTTTCCTCTTGCGCCCTGATCTAGCCACAGTAATCCACGCAACAGCATCCCCAGAATAGACTACTGTAACTTGCTCTATGCTGACCTGCCCTTGAGGCTGACCCAGAAGCTCCAGCTGATCCAGAATGCGGCGGCGTGAGTCCTGATGGGAACATCACAGATGGCACATATTTATCCAGTGCTGCGGCAGCTGCACTGGCTTCCAGTAGAATACTGAGTCAGCTTCAAGGTTTTGGTATTCACCTTCAAAGCCTTGAGCAGTCTGGGACCAACATATCTATGGGACTGTCTCCTCCACTATGTCCCTGGAAGAACGTTACACTCTGCAGATAACAACTTACTGATGATCCCTAGCCCCAAATGTCTGGCTGTCCCTGACCAGGGCCAAGGCCTTTTTGGTCCTGGCCCCAACCTGGTGGAACTCTCTGCCTACTACAGTCAGAGCCCTGCGGGACCTCATGCAGTTCTGCCGGCCTGCAAGGCAGAGATGTTCCACCAGGCTTTTGGTCATCAATTGTATGATAATTTATGTTTCTATATTGCATCTAAGGCTTAATGCCATATTGTAAATCGCCCAGACCCCGGCGTAAGTTGGGATGGGGTGATCAATAAGTCTAATAACTAATAACAATACTTTCAGAAGCAGAATAAGATGTTTTAGGGTTTTGGAGGTGAGACTTCAGTTGGTGTAATTTCACTGTTCTGAAGGGTTGTTAGCCTACTTGCTCTGTGCATGGGTTTCTAATTTTTATTTGCTGTAAACACTCTTGAAAGTTACTGGAAGTTATTGCAGGAGGGCGGTATGCAATATGGTAAATACTGTTTTGGCATCCATTGGTAGCTTTGCTAAATGTGCACAAGACTTCTCTCCAGACAGATCTGTGGTCTAATAGTGGTTTTGGCACAGACTAGTCCAACTTGATAACTTGGATCCAACAATCTGCAAATGAAGTCCTGTTCACAGATAGTGGCTCTTGAACAACTTGCCATGCAGTGAGAAAGAGGCACCAGCAGAAATTCTTCCCTCATCCTTTGCAGAGTGTGGCCTCTGTTGCTCTTAAACGATACTTACATAGTTGGTTTCTTAAAATGCATTTTTATTGCTGTCTGATTATTTTTTTCAGGAACACGACTTCCCTACAGAGATGGTCAAATTTGGACCTGAGCGCATGTACATTGACTGCTGGGTTAAAAAACAAACCTATGATACTTTCAAGGAAATCCTAGGAACAGGGATGCAATATCACTTGCAGGTAAATGGCTAATGACTTCTGTTTTTGGGTCTGTTTCATAACTCTGAGTTGGAGATTCTGCTCAGCTCCTTTTGAGAGAGTTTTGTCCAGTTTAAGTAATAACTTTAACTTGGTTTTTCAGTATCTGTTTTGAGGAAATTAATGTGATCTGTGAGTTCAGATGCATACCATGTATGTTCGTTTGAGAAATCTGAAACTGAAATGTAAATGCATACTGTGTCCTCTGTCCTTAAGGGTTTAGAGTCCACATTGATCTACTTTTAAACTAGGGCTGCAGTAGAGTAAGAGCTGGAAATGACTTCTGATGTTTCCCTCTTCCAGCACTCTTAGCAGGAAATCTGTGGACTTTACCCATTGAAGCAAAGTGAGGTATTAGGCTTACTAGCTGTCACTGAATACAGTTGATGTAGATTTCAACAGCTAATAATTTGATGTTTTATGCAGTCCAATGAGCTTCTTCGGAATGTCTTTGAACTTGGGCCACCGCTGATGCTCGATGAGGCAACTCTTAAAACCATGAAGATACCCCGTTTTGAAAGGGTAAGCTAGGTTACCTGCTTTTCCTAGCAGACATTATTTCTCCCTCACAGTTTGCCACAATACCTAGCGGTGACACAAGCAAAGCTAACTACGTGCCCAGCACTGCTGAATGCAGGGTAAGGCAAGTGAACCCAAGGTTTGTTCTTTTCCTCTTCCTCACCTTCATAATAGGCAGTGCATGTGAGGAGTCTGGAACCAGCAGTAGTACAAACACTGGAGGGGAGGGGCACGCAAACAGTGTCACCTCTAAACTTGCAAGGTTTTTTCAAGCAAGGCTGCCCAAGAGTCTAAGGAAACATCCTTGTAATAATTTCCACTAATTCCCTAATGCTGAATATATAAATATATTGAAGGTTATCATCAGAGGACCTGCTTGCATGTACTTCCTCCTTTGGAAGTTAATGGGTGCCCAGTAGGGGTGCAGGGCCTTTTCAGTGGTGGCACACTGAAATACATTCCCACAACTTGAATCAATCCTGTCCAATTTTAGGTGTTAAGGGAAAATAATTTTTTTGTTCAGGTGCTTAGATTTTTTTTCCCTTTTGTCTGTGGGAAGGTTGTTGGTTTGTATTTGTATATTTTTCTCCATTTTTGTTCATTTTTTATTGTGAATTGCCTTCAGCTGCCTGTGAGTGTGATTCATGGAAAAAAGATACACTGTCCATCTTTGGGGAGTGAACCAGAAGTTGTTAAATAAAATGCTAGTCTTAGCTTAACCTGCTTACATAATTGCCTTTTCTCTCCTCCCTTCACAGCACCTTTACAACTCTGCAGCGTTCAAAGCAAGGACCAAGGCCAGAAGCAAATGCCGTGATAAAAGAACAGATGTTGGTGAAGTGTTCTAGACTAGCGCTTCAAGATCTGACTTGATTTCTGTTAAATCTAAATCCTCTTAAGTGTAATTATTGCTAAGTTTAATATGAAATGAGGCTTTTAAAACTGTCTGTCTTAGGTGTCTTGCACATACAGAGAAAATTTCTGTGATGTAGGTTATTGAATAGATGGATATGTGCTGCGAGTTGAACAAAGTGTAGGGAGGGAAATAGAAAGGGGGGTAAGAGTGTCTCATGAAGTTGGCATTCTTGCAGTGCTGTCAGTCACATGGTGCTGGGACTGCTTTGATTCAGCTCACCATTTTTAGTGCTCTAATGAAATAGGTGAAACCTATTAGGGAAGCTATTATGCAGAGTAAATATGTCTTTGGACGAAGCTGCTATTTAGATAGATCACGAAACATTTTAAATCATACAGTGACTATACCGTGCAGGGGCCCCTAAAGCTGAAATAAAGTAACATACAAAAATATTTGAAGGTCGATGTTATGTTAAATCTTGAATAATAAAGTCTTTCTCTGAAAACTGTTTTTATTCAGAACACTGAATGAGTTTGTGCAAAAGAGATTTGTGTGTCTGATACAAATACCTATGAAGGGATTTAAAATTAAGGTTCAGTAGCATATTTCAGACTGAAATACACAAAATATGTTAGCCTCCTGTGTCCCTCTTTTGAACAGGCAGATTCCTCAAGGCAGGGCTGGTGTCAGCATAGCCTGAGCTTGGGCAGTGAGCCATGGGTGTAGTGGTGGGGAAACAGGGTGGGTGGGAAGGGAAGTGTGAGTAGGGGACGGGGGGTCCTTGCATCCTAGGTACTCTACTCTGCATCTGGTCCTGCCTTTAAGGATTCATGGCATTATGGTATCATCATCAGCTGCAGTCCAGTTGCCTATGTGGCCTACATGATGCTTTACAGTTTCTACCATGCTGCTTATTGAAACAAAGTAAAGTCAGCCTGGCCTGTGCACATTACACTTTCTCACATTTTACTTCAGTATTTAAAATACATCCAATTCCTTACATTCTATAAATGTACAGTTTTTAACAAAATGAATGCATAAAAATGCAAATATAACAAAACAGTAGCTACGTATGTAAAAAGGTAAAGGTTCCCTTGCTCGAAAGCCAGTCGAGTCCGACTCTAGGGTTGTGGTGCTCATCTCCGTTTCAAAGCCGAAGAGCCAGCGCTGTCCGAAGACGTTTCCGTGGTCATGTGGCCGGCATGACTAAACACCAAGGCGCACGGAACGCTGAACTACATATGTACACATAACCAAAAGTTAGGGCAAAATGAAACATTGAACTTACCTGAAGGTTTGCTGTCTTCAGTGGGGTGAAGTCATCCACACTGGTTAGGTCATGCTCCCTCTTGCTTCTGGCAGGGCTATTCAAAATTTTTTGTGACTCCTGGATCAGAGCAAGGCTGCTCTTCCGGTTACCAAATAGCCCGGAATGGATGACTTTGCCCCACTGAAGAGAATGAAACTTCAAGTAAGTCTAATGTTGCATTCTCCTTCAGTGGGGGAAGTCATCGAAACTGGTTATATATCCAAGCTGGATGGTGGGAAGCCTATATATGTGGTCTCAGTCCACCACTTGTTGAAGGACTCCTTCCAAAGGCTGCCTCAGTAGAGTTCAACTGGTCAGTTCTGTAAAGTCTCATGAAATTAGAAAAGGATCACCATGTAACTGCCCTACAGATTTCTTCCACAGGTGCTCTTGTAGAAGAGGTGGCTGACATAGCCACTGCCCTGGTGGAATGAGTGGTAATGTTTTGAGGCACCTGTAGCCCCAGGATTTCACATGCTTTGCAAATGCAGAGCTTTAAACCAAAGGGCAATAGTAGTTTTTTATACCCTTTTACCCAGATGTCCTGAGCTATGTGAAACAAATAGTACATCTGTTAGCCAAAAGGTTGCAGTTCTGTTTATATATGCACACAGAGCCCTGTGTACATTCAGTTTGGGACAGGGAAGAACCAACTGTTGGTTTAAATGGTAGGCCGAGTTTACCTTTGGTACAAACAGGGCTATTTTTGGGCAGGAACGCACAGGAATGGAGTTCTGGCTGGCTTCAGAGTTGGCGACGCCCATTACAGCCAAAACCTCTGTGTGCGTGGCTACAGAGGGAAAAGCCTGGAGAGTGACCCCCCGGTAACTCCGAGGTGGGCGGGTCAGGGGAGGCCCTGGAAGGATTGGGGAGGCATTTAAATGCCTCCCTGTGCCTCCCCTGGCCTGTCCAAGGGCTGGCTTGCCCGGGCTCCCCGCGATTGTGGGGCACCCAGGCAAACCAAGGGGAGGCATGGGGTGTGGCCTAATATGCTAATGAGTTTCTGCTGTTGGGTGTGGCCTATTATGCTAATGAGTTCCTTCTGGGCTTTTTCTACCAAAAAAGCCCTGGGTACAAATGAGGGATCTATTCTAAGTACCATGGAGTCCTTGTGAAATGTATGTAATTTGCTCCTAACATAATGTCCCCAGTTCTGAAATCCTTCTGGAAGAGGTGACAGTTATGAGAAAGGCAACTTTCTGAAGAATAAACTTTAATTCTGTTGATCTTAGGGCTTCAAAAGGCATTTTTCAGTGCCTGCAACACTTGACAGACTCCAGGCAGGAAATCTGTTGGTCTGGTGGAGCTAATTGCATAGTTCCTTTTAAGAATTTTCTAGCATGTCTGTTGACAGCAATGTTACACAGCCCCATTTCCCAGAGTCACTGCAAGAACGGCTACTTTCCTTTTTAAGGTATTTGGTCTCAGACCTTGCTTCCATCCTGTATAGAAATATTGATTTCTAAAAGCCCCTGCCTCCCCTGGGATGTCTTGCTGATAATGCTGTGCCTTGTTCCCGTTACAAGCCAAATGGTGGGCCCCATGGCCTCCGATAGCCATGCCATAAACCCACATTCTTCACACTTCCATGCTGGGAGAGACCAGATGGCCTCTGCCAAACAAGCAAAGAGTCACGTAAGCAATGAGGCTTGGAGTTGGGAGCCATGTGACTGCAGGCGTGGTTTCCAAACCCCCAGCCTATCCCCAGTTGTCCCCATGACAACCCAAAAGTTGGACACACCCTTCCTGCTCGCAGTTGGCTGAATGGCCACAGCTGATTGTGACTAGATTGGGGTTAATTGTCTGGTCCCTTGGAAGAGAGCTCTGTTCAGTTCTGTTCCTGCTTGTGAGCTCTGATGGACACCTGAAATGCTGTCCTGCCATGCTGTCTCTGGGAGAGACAAAGAACTGCTTTGGAGCTGAGCACATGGTTGGCAAAGATGGACTTCTTGCTAGAAATCCCTTGGGGCTACTGGATTATCACAATGGACTATTCTGGACTGATAATTGTTCCTGACTTGGTAAATATGCAGCATTATGTTTAGTTAAGGCAAAACTTGCCTTAGGCTTTCTTATTTTGTAATCTCTTGGTCTATGCCAAGTTCTGTACTGAATAAACTTATTCTGGTTTCTAACTTGTCTGTATTGTTGTAACTGGACTCTAAGGCTAAACTGCTCACCCTATAAGCTATCTCTGTTAAGCATGCATCTCTAGATAGAGGTGCTAGTGTGTAAAACCCAGATGCCAAGTGAGATTCTGGAATCTCTAATCTCAGGCTGGTGAGGGATTAAGTAGAGATTCTGGTGGCTATTGCTCTGAAATCCAGAGAGGGTAGCATACCTCTCTGGGTTGTTGTTAAATGTATTGAAGACTGTAGGCTTCCCCCCTCGTTCCTGGATAGGCGTGAGGGGCAGGAACCTATACACATCCCTTGTGTAGGAACATAACATCCTTATGGGAAAATTTGAGTGGATCCTTTTACCCGTAGCCCATTTTTTGAAGGCAGACCAAATATAGCTGTAAATACACCTAGTTGTTGGTCATCTTGTTTGAACCATAATATCCACAATTTCCTTAGAGAAGCCAGTTCTTTCTGAATCTGCCTGCTCCACCTCCATGCCATTAGTTGGATCTAGGCTGAGACTGGACGCGCCCCAGTGAATCTGGCTTAGGAGTTGGAGGCTGTGGTGGGATGGCTGAAACAGCTGGCTGAGACTGAATGCTTCTAAGATGGAGGTTCTGTGGCTGGGGTAGAGAGATTCTGGTTTGGGGTGTCAACTCCCAGCTCTTTACGGTGTGCCTTTGAGACCAGCACCAACCGTTATGAGTCTATGTGTGATTCTGGATGCCTCCCTAACAATGGAGGCCCAGGTCACTAAGGTTGCCAGACTGGCTGTAAGGATTTCCAGAGTGCTGGAAGCAGGCAAGTGGTATGATTGGTGAGTGACAGAGAGGGGGAGGGTTTTTGGAATGGATGCTGTGTGGATGATTGGAATGTCTATCTGGTGTGTCTGTTAGGTATGACAGTTGAGAAAAACAGTCAGTCAGCAGGGAGTGCTGTATAAAAGCAGTTAATATGAGAGTTGTCCTGAGGTCCCTGTGAGGGAAAGATTGGGTTCTGGGTAGTAAAAGAGTTAAGCAGTTTGTTCGTTTTAAGGTCTGAGAGAGAGAAGTCGTGTGTGTGTTATGAAAAGTTAAAGCATAAAGAAACAGTAACCATATATGGCCTAAGGAAAATATTGTTACAAAGTGACATGCCCTGATCCCTGTCAATAAGAGGGAAGAGTGTGTGAACATCAAATAAATCTACTTTTATTTAAGACACAAGTTCTGAACGAAATTCTTCCCAGGAAACACATAGTCCTTCGAAAGCCCAAACCCTGGGTCACAATACCAAAACCAGTAGGAAAAATATTAAAGGAAAAGGTCGGGAAAGCCTAAATTTCCCTGGTGGCAGCCAGATTACCCTGAGAGCAAACATAAAGAACATTTTAAAGTAAAACTAGACCTCCCCAAATAAGAGGTCGTCACACTGGCATTCTTCCAACTGTGCCAGGTCAGGCAACTGGCCTCCTACCTGTCTAGCTACAGTAATCCTTGCAACGGTCACCTCCAGACTGGACTACTGTAACTCGCTGTATGTGGGTCTACCCTTAAAGCAGACCTGGAAACTCCAAGTGGTACAAAATAGGTCTGCGCAGATCCTTCCAGAGACTACATGTACAGCACACATCCATCGTGAGCTGCAGTACTCCAGTGGAGTACTGGATCAGGTTCAAGGTATTGGTGTGGACTTTCAAAGCCCTTAATAGTCTCGGACCTACATATCTTCGGGACTGCCTCTCCTGGTATACCCCCAGGAAAGCATTGTGCTCAGTAAGTCAAAATCTGTTGGTGGTCCCTGGCCCAAGAGATATCCCACTTTTCTCAACTAGAGCCGGGCTCCAACCTGGTGAAACTCTCTGTTGAATAACATCTGTGCCCTGTTCTGCAGGGCCTGTTAGACAGAGATGTTCTGCTAGGTGTTTGGTTGAGGGGATAGTAATGGTTCCCTCTCCTTGGCACTCCCACCCCCTGCCTCCCCATGAGGCAGTGGCACATTAGAATTTTTAGCGCCATTTGTTAAGCTACTTGCTGTGTTTTGTTGATTTTTAATTATGTATTATATGATGCACACCACTCTGAGCCCTGTCCTTTGGGGGAGGGTGGTTTAAAATTGAATTTAATAAGTAATAAATCTGGGTACAGAATTGGACCTTGAGATCCCATTTGATAGGTAGCTGTCACAGAAAGTTCACTGACATCCTCACCACTTCTGAGAACCACAGGTGTCGTGGCCCGAATGGAGTGATGAAAATTACCTCTGCTCTCCTTATCTTGTTCAGCACCCTGCTGATTAGAGGAGGGAAGGCATGCAGCAGACCACTTGGACAGTGGTGTAGAAGGGCATCCTCTCCCTCTGCTTGGGGTTTAAAGTATCTTGACAGGAATCTGGATACCTGTTGTTGGATGATGCTAACAGGTCCGTCATGGTTCAGAGCTCATTCTCCCACATCCATGTATTTCCTGCTTAGCCAATCTGCTTCAGTATTTGCAAGCCCTTGTACATGTTGTGCCTCCAGACTCGTCAGATGTAATTCCACCCACTGGAAAAGGAGCTGAGCTTCCTTGCAGAGAGGACACAATAGCAAAAATAAACACTCTGAAATACAGCATTATTACCATAAAGGCAAAAGCAATTTCTATATACTCAAAGTGTCATTATAATATATTAATTATTTCCAATGTTCTGTATAAGACATTCAATACAAAAATATAGTTATTCCCCATCCAGTATCAAAGTGACATACAGAAAACCCTCACAAGAGAAAAGTTCAAGGAAAATTTATAAATAGAATTAATGAAAATCTGCAGTGTCCAAAGCACAAATGGGATGGCGCTGCCGGTTAACTCCCCCTTTTTTGGGTATTCCGGTCCCTTCTTCAGTAAAGGAAACTGGCAGAGGATCCAACAAACAGTCAAGGTCGGGTATTTTCTACAGCGTATAATTCTCTATGTCGACATGTGCTCACAATCACTCACAATCTTGTCAGTGATCTGGTCCATGGGGTCACAAAGAGTCGGACTCAACTGCGACTGAACAAGAACAACAACCACTTTGATACTGGATGGGAATAACTATATTTTTGTGTTGAGTGTCTTATATGGAATATTGGAAATAATTAATACATTATAATAACACTTTGAGTATATGTAAATTACTTTTGCATTTATTGTAATAGTGCTGTATTGCACAGTAGTTGTTTTTGCTGTTGTGTTGTCTACACTGTGATTGCTCTGGTAGTATTATCCTTGTCGAGAGGAGCTGCCTTGGCGTCCCCTTGACGGTTGATGTGAGGTTTTGCTGTTGTGTTGTTGGTCCTCACCAGTACTTGTCTTGAATTAAGTTGCAGAAGGCAAACACAGTTAGTTTGATTGCCCTTAACTCTAGCCAGTTTATGCTTGTGCCATGTGATCTAGGCAGTGTGCTCCCCATACCCTTGTGGGCACTAGTACATGAGGCAACTATAGGAAGCTCACTCCTTTGGTCACGTTTTCCTGAAGAGTCCACCATTTCAGAGATTTCCTCAGAGATTTTAAAACCTCTTGCTGATATCTTTTTGGTGAGGTAACAGTGTTCATTGCAAGGGTCTTGCACAGAAAGGGGCCCATAGAATAAAGTCTATGTTTGAAATTAAGTGACCCAGGATTCGCGGTAGGTAGACTCCCTGGAAGCACTGATGAGAGGGAAGTGGTTCTATCACTCTGACGGAAAGGAGGTGCTGGATTGCCTTCAACAGCAAGAGCCATTTCTGTTCACATTTGGGAATGGAAGATGGGAGGAACCAATGTGGAGGGGGAGACAAAAACTCTATTTTGTAACCATGTTCAATAATTGAAAGAACCCACAAATCGGTTGTTGATCTTTTCCTGTGGTGGGCAAACTTCTGGACTTGGCCTCCTATCAGGTAGTCAGGCGGTGGGTCCCTTGCCAGAAGCATTCTTGTCTTACTAGTTGGCTGGGAACTGTCTGTGCTGAAACCTGGGGTGGTAACTGAAGGCATGACTACTTCCGTAGTCCCTGGCCTCTCTGCCTCTTGTGTGGGTCCTGTAGTTATGAAAGGAGTGAAAGGTTTTCCTCTTTGTGTCTTTGTCCCTAGGAACAGAGGGGAAAGGCATCACTTTCTTCTTCTCTTTAGTTTCCACCAATACTTTGTCTAGTGCTCTTTCCTTGAAGAGCAATCGACCCAAAAAAATTTCTGCAGACAAATTGGATTTCAGCCTCAAATTTCTCCTGACCACATTTGCTGGTTGTGCTCTAGCGCAAAATTGCATGGTGTCTTGTGATGCACCCACTGCAAATTCAGCCACACTCTTGATTTTAAGGAGAGACCTCTTATGCATCAGAGGATCAGTCTCTATATCCTAAAGGAGACTATCCGCCCAGATTACGATCCCTCTGGTAAAACTGGACAGAATCTGATAAAACTGGAGGATCATAGAAACACAAATGTGTATTTGAAATAAACAATATGAACAATATGATCTTAATTCGTCATATGACTGGCAGCAACAGATTAATAATAGCAATTGCTCTGTGGTGTAGGAAATGGCTATCTGTATTGGCTGTAACAACAAGATGGTACATGCTCTGTAATGCATTTATGTTAGCAATTTTTATATTTCATATTTTATTAAGATTATGGATTCACATATTTTTTATGAATGTTATGTATATTATTACCCAAAGAGGTGTTTTCCTATTTAGTTGGCAGAAATTATCTTAAAGGAGACTAGAAAGAGGGGGTAGCTGGGATCACCAGTGTTTACTGGGATTTTCCCCTCTGAGAACTTTTGAAATAATCCAGTCAGATATTCAAGTGGTAAGGTTCTTTATTAAAAAGAAGTAAAAAAGAGCAAAAACACACAAAGACACAAGTTGACTGAGAGGAAATTAAAGGGAGGAGAGGGAGAAAGCAATTTCATGAAAGTTATACAGTTACCAGTCTCAAAGACAGAGGTCTGCAGAGGCAGCAGCAAAACTACCAGCATTTCATATTGAAGAAGACAGGGTCCATATGAAAGTGGGGGCATGAGGCGTGGTGCCAAGAACACATACACTGGTATGGAGCAGTGTGCTGGTAGCTAGAGGAAAAGTTCCCTAGGGTGGTTTAATGTGTTTGCCCCCAAAACAATAAATTGATTGCTTTTCTGGAGATGAACAATGATTTGGGCAAAATCTTGATGAGTTTACCTGAGATGAAGTATAGGAGTTAATGTTTCTTGATGACCCACTAAGTACTGGATAGGAAAACTACCAGGTTTTGTGAATAGCATCAGTGTCGCTAAACTAGGGTAAATGGATAAGGGGAAAGTGGGGCTGGAGTTGTTGGGATTCATAAAATGTGAGGTAACAGATTCTTGGAAGACCCATTGTTCCTAATGATGTATCTCCTCAGGTGTGGAGAGGGTCATTAGCCACTTCTGGCTTACATACAAAAATATTTTCCCAGGCTTGTTTCTGGCTGGCATCCATTTTGTGTCATTTTGGGCCAGACAGTGTCTTATATTTATGATTTTTGAGGTGATATTTGTATGAAGGGTGTTTATGTTATTCTCTAAGCACTAAACTGCCCCTCTGTGGGAGGAGGGGTCTGATTGCTAACAATTTGGCTCTGTACACAAAATTAAAATAGACTCTATCCAACCAAATATTTGAAACTTGACAACTTGGCTGAAATGAATACTAAATATAGATGGAAAGGACACTCTGTTTGACAGCTGAGCTTCTGGTTTCAGTGGAGACACTCAATGGATTTCCAGAGAACAAAGGGACCAGCGTGTTTCTGCAGGAACCTGACACTAGAATTCTTTTGAACAGGAGGTTAGCAGGACATGGTCCAAGGGGTAAGTAACTTCCAGCTGATTACAGATTTAAAACTATCAAGAATAGATCTACTCTTTGGTTAACAAAAGCTTTTTCTGCTAAGATCTGTGCCCTGAGCAAATATTTGCTGAAAGTCATAATAGGACTTCCGTCTCAGTGAGCAACGAGTGACCATGACTCACTCATGGGAATGTCAGGAACATTATATTAGTTCACTTAAAGAAGGAATGAATATTTAGTGCTCTTACTGTCTACTTTCTTTCAAGGCACAGGAATTAAAACTAAATGAGATGCAACATCTTTTGGTTTATTTTAGGAAGTCTCTTAAGTGTGTAATGGGGCAATAGACTTTGGGAGTGTCACTTTAATTACTGCTTACACTAGACCTGAGTTAGAGAGAAATCTCTTTCCTTGCTTTACAACGCTCTATCAAAAGACACTGTGGAACCACTGCCTTCAAAAAGCCAAGCCCCTGAATATTGATGTTCAGTCTTCGTAACTCTGCAGAAGCAGACATTCTGTTAGTGCAATGGTCCTGCCCAGTGATAAGCTGTATAGCCGGCTGCGGACGTCTTCACAGGAGAAACGCCAAAATAGCAAGAATGATATGGCTGTTTGACATTACTCATTTCCTCATGTGATATTTCCTTAAGGGAGCAATAATTCAGTTGTCTTGAACTCAGTGCTGCATATCTAAAAAATTTTCTGTTGAACAGAAGTAGACACTTGAGACTGTAGGCTATCCACAGCTTTCTCAGTAGTTGGCCAGAAAAAAAGGCTTCAAAGATCTTACTTTTAATTAGTCTGTATGTGTATGGGAAAATCTTATGAATTCTACACACAAAAAGGAACGAGCTCAAATGATGCAAATACTTAACATACTATGCTTGTACCTGAAATAGCTCATGTCACGTGCATGCTACCTACATTTAACTACCAATTAGTTGCACAACTGAACTGAATGCATCATCTTCTGTTCTGAGCCTCTAGCTTTCCCCATTTGCTAAGATGAAGCTACAGAATCCAAATGACACAATCTTTGAAGACTTTGCCTGACAGGCTTCCATTTCCTATGAGCACATTAAGTTTCCAGTCCGCCTGATCCATCCAATTAAGCAGGCATAGCCTGTGAAAGCCTGTTCCAACTTTTGACACAAAACTCTACATTCATACACTTAAAAGGGCCAGATTAGTGGTCACAGGGCTGTGGATGCCCCATTCAAAACACACTTAAACAAATAATGTTTCTTGAAAGGTAAGGGAAACAAGGTCAGACTGGGAGGTTTAATGAACAGTATAAATAAAAATTATGCCAGTCCCAAATTCAGGGCAAAAAGAGAAGAAAGTCTTCTAGCCACTTTTCCTCACTGTTACTGAGAAGTAGGGTTGCCAGCCCCCCCTCCCCCGGCAACTGACAGGGGATGGGGGGGTAGGATTGGTTCGGAGGCTCCAGGTTTGGAGACTCATGGAGATTTGGGGATGGAGTCTGGGGAGGACCTCTGTGGGGTACAATACCATAGAGTCTACCCTCCAAAGCATCCATTTTCTCCAAGGGAACTGATCTATCTAGTCTAGAGCTGCAATTCCAGGGGATCCCAGGTCCCATCTGGAGGCTGGCGTTCCTATGAAGCCCCTTTTTCTCATAGTCACAGAAGCCACACTCTCTCAGGATTGATGGCTCACTCCAGAAGGTGGTCACTTCTCTGCTAACTGCCTTTCTCCGTTTCCACAGTCTGTTTCCCCCAGGAACTTCTTTAGAAATTCTCCCAACTATCAGGAGGAAAAACTCCTGAGCTTCTTTTTTGGCTGTTTCTCTCTCTTGGAGTTTACCCCCTCCTTCTCCTGCCCTGTCGCCAAGCAACCACTCACCCAGTCTCTCTGTAGGAAGCAGCTCCCTCTAGAGGACAGTGTTTTTAGGCTAGGCCCATTTCACACACTTTTTAAAATCAATATTTCTACAAGGCTTACACTCGCAACAGTACAAGAGAGAAATTTTAGATTCAGTATGATTCATGGCTTAGGGTTGTTCCAATTTCTAAAGCTGATGCAGAACATCTTCAGAATGCTGAAATTCTGCTGTTCTGATGTAGTTAGGTTCTTCCATATTAGGTTGATGCCTGACGTTTTCAGCTGTCATGGTGATGCCCCCTATTGTCCATCTCAATATCTGTGCTGAATTAATTCAGTATTAATTCAGCAACAATTGTACTAAAACCATATAACAATCCTGTCTTTTTGAATGATTGCCCATTCCACTTTCTGTTTTAGTGTAATCACCACCGAGGAAGTCCATATTTTTATCTGAGTCATTTCCCCAGATTTGTTAAAAAGTAACCATGCTCTTGCCTCTCAGGTATGATGGAGAGTTCTTCTCTTGAAACTGACTTAAGAAACTCTCATGAAGAAGGAAAACTTTACATGGTTGATTCCTTAAACAACTTAAATGAACAGCGTCTTTGTGTGGTTCGGTCTCAGCATCAAAGTATGTATGCCACAGAACATTTATCAACCACCTCTCAAGATACCAAAGTAATATGACATATTTTGTAATTTTTAATATTTAGTTTTCCTTAATGTTTTAAGAAAGAAGGCATTACATTTGCTGGCGCATTCCAGCAAGGTGCCACCACTGATCTCAAAACAGGTATGCCGATTGCAGTGCTCATTCTCCTTCAAGGCCTTTCCTAGGATAGCCTTGATCCTAAAAAAAATATGGTGTGAACCTTTCCCCCCAGAAAATTAAATGGAACCATGAAACAGAGAACAGGTGCAAGCTTACTGTTGGAATCACATGGATGCAGCTCAGCATGTACGCAGCTCAGATGGAACAGAGCAATCCTATGCAGAGTTAGACTAGTCTAAACCCACTGAGGACTGCACTGTAAATAAATGAACAACCAAAGTAATGGAAATTGTAACAGGTGCAGATTACTATGATACAACTGCCAGTTTTCACAGCATCTGCCAAAAGCCCATCTTCTACAGAACTGTTACAAATGGAGCATTCCTGCCTTCTCTTTCATCTTTTTACTTTTTTGGGTGACATTTGTTTATAAAGTATCATTAATTTGTGAGCAAGCACTCACCTGAAATAGTGACAACCACTAATTTCTGTCTTTTAGTTTAGTACAACAGTGTCTTGGGTAAATGCTCTTGCCTCTCAGGTATGATCTGAATCAATTTTCTGAATCAATTTTTACTTGATTTTTGCCCATGTATACTTTTTCACAGAGACTTGCTTCTTTTTTCCTATGTTAACAGCAGAAGGGCATTGTTAACAGGTCCTTTAGGCACCATGTCAGAGGATGAGCAAGTGATTGATTCCCTGATTTTATGATTAACATCATTAGCTCCTATAATAGTGTGGTCTGAGTAGATGCAGAGATAGAGTTGTTATCTGGAATGGTTGCAGGTGCGTTTGGTCACTCTGCTATCATCTTTGTTTTTGGTGGCTGTCTGTAAGTAAATATAGTCCTACCATCAAAGTTATGTGAGAAATAAGTAACAGTGTCCAGGATGGATTGTAGATCATTGATATGTTCCATAGGAGCTGTAGGTGCTCTGTTGCCTTCTGAAATGCTGTTATGTTGTTCCTCTTGACAAATTAGTTAATTGCTTCCCTATTCACTGCTTATGAATCTATGATCAGGGTGCTTTCCTGTTCAACTTTTAATTAGCTGTTTGAAATGTGAATCTTTGTCCTGCTCTGGAAGTTATTACTGCTATATATTTTTCTGTGAATTAATGGAAAAGGTTGGAATAATCAGCTTGTTAATATCTTCATTCCCTCTGATAATGCTCTTAACAACAGGGCAATGGATTTCTCTTTTTAAGAGGAACAAATGCAGTCCATTCCAAGAACCACATTTCTTCAGTGGGGTTCAAATGAACAAGACAAGCCAATTACTTTCTTCCATATAACCACTAGATAATTCTGTTTAAAATTGCTCCATCCTAATTTTATTTCTCTTGTATATTTGTATCTAACATACACATGGCAACAAGGTTTATTTTTAGCTCGTCATCTCTCTTGCTGTGTACGGTAAGCCTTTTAGAACATACAGTTTCCTGGCAGCATTCCATACTGTGATTCTTGAACAGATACAGAATCTGTTGGGTTGTTTTTAGCTTACAATAAGAGTATATGTAAAATAACTGGCTAAAGGCTACCAGAAAAAAAACAGTTGTTGATCAGTTTATTTCCAATCAACCAGGAGGTGTACAATTATGCAAATACTAGTAAAATATAATATGCTAGACATTAAAGAGATGTTATTGATTATGGTGAGAATCTACTTTCAGCTAACATCAGATACCTAACACCAATATCAAGTGTTTCCTGTTCCCTCCAGAAACAAATACTGGCAGTCTTTAAGCAGCAGCTGGACTAACACTTGTCAGGGATGCTCTAGGCTAATTCTGCATTGAGCAGGGGGTTGGACTAGAGGGCCTGAATGGCCCCTTCCAACTCTGTGATTCTATGAAAGCACCTATTAGCTGACATTCCTTTATTTCATAATGCTAATTTAAGGATAAGATCAAGAACACACTGGAAACATGAAAGATCTTGTGGGGAAAAATTGGCCATTGGTGTCTCAGGGATGTTAGAAAGGCAGGCAGTATGCTTGGGCAAAAGCATGGAAACCCTAGAGAGAAACAGCAAATAATAATTGGTGAAACTATTCCAGGGCAACAGGAAATGACTGGAGAATGATAATTCTCAGAATTAAAAGATATGCTTTTTTGGGAGCCATATGTAAATACAGGCACATTCTAGATTGAGAAGAATAGGGGAATACAGTCACCCCGAAGTGACCTAAGTCACTTCTTATTACTATATTTACAGAAAGTCCATTCCTTTTGTATCACATCATGGTAGTTTGTTTGTTTGAATGGTATTATTTGGTGCTACCCAGTGAAAAGTTCCTATTGGCTTTCAAAATGGGTGAATTCATTTTTGTAGCAGAGTTTGCATACCAATATGCATTTATTGGAGTTTAAATACTTGCATTTTAGAGTCTTTTGTTTGCAAGCTTTTTGACTGACCAGTATTTTCAGGAATAAAACCATGGTTGTTGATGTTTCCCTCTTAACATTCAGGCAAATGCTCTTTATAGCCATCAGCTGCTTTGAACAGATCAGATTTCAAAATAGCAAGCCAGTGTTAGAAAAGATGGTTTATAGAGTTTGATGTGATGTGATGGGTTCATCTGACATGCTTTTAAACCGAAGGCCATCACATTTGTTTACAACAGAAAAATGAGAAATACCAGAACTGACGTTTTATCCACACATACAATTGCCGTTCTATTTAGTGACTCAGCATCTATATAAGAAATAAAAGCAGCATGCTAGGAATAATTTTAAACCAACTTTTGAAATAAATGGCTAAATGACAGCAAGGAAGCATTGGGAGGTGAGAACATAAAAGGCATGCACTGTTAGCAGCTTGGCAGGGTTCCTTGATCACTGATTACTTACATGCTTTAATACCCTTAGCCAGTTCACTTAGTAAGGACTGTTCATTAGGCAGAATGGACAAGAGACATTTATTAAGAATTCTACCACTAGCTTACTGTGCTTGAAAGCCCACGTCAACAGTAAAGGTAAAGGTTTCCCTTGCTTTGAAAGCCAGTCGAATCCGACTCTAGGGGGTGGTGCTCATCTCCGTTTCCAAGCCGAAGAGCCAGCACTGTCCGAAGACATCTCTGTGGTCATGTGGCCAGCATGACTAGATGGCGAGGCGCATGGAACGCTGTTACCTTCCCACCGAAGCGGTACCTATTTATCTACTTGCAATTTCTTGCTTTTGAATGCTAGGTTGGCAGGAGCTGGTACTTCAAAGTTTATTATTGTATATGGGAAGTAGCACCAGAAGTGGAGGAATTTAATGTGTAATGGATATGAAGGCAGAGGAAATGGAGAGGGGGGAAACCATTAAATGTTGTCAAGTAGCTACAGGGAAGATGTTCAATGCTGGGGAAGTCAGAACTGCCTGGAAATCTGTCTAGGGCAGCCAGCTCATCAAAGCTGTGAGGGCTACAGCTGGAGAATGATGTATAATGCCAGTTCCAGAGGGGTAACCATAGTCTGCTGCTGCAATATTAAACCAAAGTCCTGTAGTACCCTTAAAGACTAACAACGTTTGTTCCAGAATAAGCTTTCATGAGGCAGAGCTCATTTGTTTCTGAAGCAGCCTGGGTGAGGATTGGACCCAGACTAAATTTTCCAGTGGCAGAATGGAACTTTCCTTACCTCCCTCCTCCAACTGCAGTTCACTGGTACTCTACAAAACACTGCTCCTGGGGGACAGAGAACCCAGAGGAATGACACAAAGGGGGTCTGCAGCAGGTGAAATTTAGTCTGGATCCAACCCAGAATATGGAGCAAAATGTGGCTTCTTGATAGTATCAGCTTCCCTATTTAAGTATGTATGTGTCTAGAAGGCTGTGGTTTATTTTTCCAGAGGTTCAAAGGTCTAAGGGAGCTAGTCAATGCTACATTCTTTTTTTTTATGCCCCCGGAGGGCATGTGTGGATTTTATTGCATTTTTGAATAGACTACAAACTACAACGGAAAATTGGGAAGGGTTAACTACATCTAGGGAGAACGGAAAGAAAACCACTACTAACTAAAACCCCAAGTATAGGAGATCATAACAACATCTTATATAAATGTTAATCTTAAATTGCTAGTATTACTTTGAACATAGTCAGTTATGCTAAATTTTAAATCTTTTTATCCATTGATTTAACTGTTTAAGAAAAACCCCAGAGCATCCCATAATAAAACTAAATTTTTAAGGCACAATTCAGAGTCCTTCAGCCTTCATTTTATCTTGTCTTTTCTAATCCTCAATTTGTATGTATGCTTGGGGGCAGCCGCCCCCTTATCGGAAAGAGAGTCCTCATCGGAAGACACCGAGTCCAATTCGCTACTGGATTGGCTGTCATCTTCCTTCTCGACTGTCTCTCCCAGCTGCACTCTCAGGAACTCACGTGCTTTGGAAACAGAGTCAATCTTTTCTTTTTTATTGTGTAGTTTGAAAATTACACATTCTGGAATTAACTATCTGTAGACAATGCTGTTTTTTTGTAGATAGAGGATTAAGTCTTTATATTTCTTTCTCTTTTTTCTTATTTCAAATGGAATGTCTTTTAGAATCCTGATGGTATTGTCTCCGATTTTCAAGGGTGTTCCCGTAGTTGCTTTCAGGATAGAATCCCTCACATGTCACTTTGAGAATCTGGCCACTATTTCCCCAGGCAGATTATTCTTTTTTATGTACACGGAATAGGACCTATAGACCACATCCATTTCGCTTGCAAGGTACTCCGCTTTCAAATCTGTAACTGGGGCTAATGCTTCACTCAGGAGTTGCTTTAGATTCTCACCTTTTAATTCTGGGACCCCTTGAAACCGTAGGACCAAATTTGCTTTCTCCATTTGCAGCTGTAAAAGTTGTGATTCTTCTGAAGCTTGTTTCTTTTCCAGCTTTTGCACCTTTTTCTTGAGTTTTTTTCATGTTGGCATCCATTTCCTTCACTTTCTCAGCCGTTTGCTCCATTATTTTTAAAGTCTCAGTCAGTTGGAGCTGCTGAGTTGCAAGATTCTGGTTTAGAGTCGTCAGCTGTTGTTTGATGTTAGTCATCTGGTCCAGCAGAGGGCGCAAGGAATCTGCCAACATTTTGGAGAACTCAGTGACCTCTTCCGGTCGAGGGCTCAAGATCCCAGCTGGTTTCACTTTTGCTGGTTTGTCTTTCTCTGCCCTCTTCCCCGCCATCTTTATGGATTGTTTACTTTTATGAAAACTTGTTAACATTAGCCTATTGATGACAACCAATCCCAAAACTACGAATGATGTGTCCTAAGGGCTTTACATAGAGATTAAAAAGCATGGGGGAGAGAATTGCACTCTGTGGAATCCCACAAGATAGGTCCCACACCGAAGATGACTGGTTTCCAACAGTAACCCTTTGAGTCCGATCCATGAGGAATTATGAACCAGTTCAACACAGATCTCCTGATACCTACTTCTGTCTCCAGGCGCCTCAACAAGATGGCATGATATACTATATCAAAGTTTTTAGACAAATCCAGTAAGAGCAACAGAGAGGGCTGGCCTTTGTCTGCACTCAGACAGAGCTCATTAACTAAAGCTAGAAGACCTGTCATGCTCAAATTAGCTATTTGTTAAATGTCTAGGTCTCCTTTGAACATATCATATCAGTCTCACAGAGTTGACTTACCTCTGCCCCCTGTTCCATTACAGCCTTTGAAAATTGACTGGGAATGCTCTCTTAAATTTTTCACCTACATTTGTTGTTGTTCAGTTGCACAGTCAAGTCCGACTCTTCGCGACCCCATGGACCATATCACGCCAGGCCCTCCTGTCTTCTGTTGTGCTCCGGAGTTTGCTTAACTTCATGTTCATTGCATTGATAAGACTGTCTAACCATCTCATCCTTTGCCGTCCCCTTCTTCTTTTACCTTCAGTCTTTCCCAGCATCAGGGTCTTCTCCAGTGAGTGCTCCCTTCTCATTTGGTGGCCAAAGTATTTGAGCTTCAGCTTCAGTATCTGTCCTTCCAGGGAACAGTCAGGGTTGATTTCTTTTAGGATTGACTGATTTGATCTCCTTGTAGTCCAAGGGACTCTCAAGAGTCTTCTCCACCACCATAATTCAAAAGCATCTATTCTTCAGCACTTGGCTCTCCTTATTGTCCAGCTCTCACAGCCATACGTTACTACTGGGAATACCATTGCTTTGATCATACAGATTTTTGTTGGCAGGGTGATGTCTCTACTTTTTATTATGCTGTCTAGGTTTGCCAACCCTTTCCTCCCAAGGAGCAGGCCAAATTGTAATTAAAAGAAACAACTACATGGTGATCCATTGATTAAGCCTAACATTTTTCTAAAACATTTTTCTAGTGCACAATTTCTAATGAAATAGCAGTGTTTTGGATGCTACAGTTGCTATATGTCACTTGAGGGTGAAATTAGATGGATCTAGTTTAAAAATTATGAATATTTTCTGTATCTTTTCTTCTGTAAAACCATAGCTATCTGGCCAAGCAATTGTTAATGGAGATTAAATGCAGAATTCTTGTTTTTGTTTTACAGCAGTCTGGCAAGAGGACACAGACAGTGCTGGTTGTTGGACAACGCAAAACAGTATGAGATGCCATAGCTGGTTCTTTGTCACATTGATCATTACTTTAATTGTCAGCTTGGCACTTGTTTCCTTTGTAATAATCTTAATAGGTAAGTGAGTACTCCTTGTTTCTGAGGATATTGATTGCAGCATAAGGGCAGCCTACAATTTAATGGCCTGCTTTCTAAGGAAAGTTTTGTAACGTACCCCCACCACTTTTCAGATGTTACAGAAATATGTACTGGAAGCCCACCAACCATGCTTAATGGAACTGCACTTACTTGCAATCCTCACCGTATGCCTGGTCAGTAAGGTCGCCAACCTCCAGGCAGCACCTGGAGATCTACAGCTATTACAATCGATCTCCTGATGACTGAGATCAGTTTCCCTGGAGAAATTGGCTGCTTTGGAGGGTGTACTCTATGGCTTTATACCCTGCTGAGGTCTCTCCCCTTCCCTATCACTCCAAAACAGGGTGGGGAGAATCACAAGTGTCTATAGTGAAGGATTATTTGGGTTAGCAGAACCTGTCTGGTCTGTGTATGCTGACAAGAAACAAAATTACATACAGAGCCTCTTTATCTTTGCAAAACTAATATGAGTCTTTTATTGTAAGGAACTCCATTCTAGACAGGATAGAGTAGAAATAGGAATCTAATCTAGTCTAACTAGCTAGGATGGATAGAGATGAGGAAATCATGCCCTGCCAAGATGGAGAAGGGTAGCACAGTATGGAGAGAAGGTGTCAGACCAGAAGGAAGGAAGATTCCCTGAGAGTAGCAATCTATACTACATTTAAACTGAACAACTGAGTGGTGGTCCTGCTGCTCAGTTGCTTGGAAGCCCCTGCTTTCTGCTCCCTGTGAAAAGCCGTGGTGAGCAGAAAGCAGGGGTTTAAACTTTAAATAGCTCATGAACTAATACAAACCGGGTCAGTTTGTGAACCAACCTCCCGATTGGTATGGGTTCGTGGTTCAGCCACAAACCGAACTGCAAAAATGCTGTTTGTGCCCATCCCTGGGGGAGGTATGACCACTATGACCAACAACAAAATGGTTGCCATGTGAGCTGTGGCCAGTTACAAAATATTAGTAGGTTCCAAGCCAAGCAGAATCCTATGATGGAGGCAGCTGTTTCCCAATGGGTGCTCCCTGCAGACAAAACACTGATGCCTCCTAGGGTTCCCTGAAGCTCCTCTTGTTCCAGTGAGGTGGAGGAAAGCCAGGACAGACTCTTTGCTTTGGAGAAGGAGGACATGGGCACCAGGAAATACATTGCCACATTGTCTACAGGGGCCACGTTGGGGATTACTAGTAGAGGCTTTTCTACAGCTATTCAGTATTTGTGCATGCATATACAAGAGAATCACTGTTCACCAACTATTGCAGTTGACTCATTTCTCCATGTACGCGGTTTGCCAGGTATATGGGTTGGCTGCCTGGGATATGCCCAGGATCCCCAGCATTTCCCACCTGACTGCAAAGCTGCTGAAAATGGACACAGTGTAATATATGTGGGATGAGTAACAAATTGGCTATGCATTGAAGCAGTTGCTGCAGTTTGGTGTGTTCAAATAAAATAAAAAGCAATTATTTAATATGCTGCCTTATGTACTGCAGTTCATTTCATAATGAGCTGGCTGAACATTACCTCTTTTCTTTTGCAGTTCACACTGGAGACAAGACGGATGATGTGTCAAGAAAAATAGTACTAGAAAAGAAGAACATTGAAGACCTCAAGAAATTAAATGACATGATTTTACAGTACCTAAACCAGACAGAATTGGTAGAGAATGTAGGAAACCTCAGCGGGATGCAAACAAGACAACCAAGCCCTGATCTTCCAGGCTAAAGAATGCTCAGCGGGAAATACCAGGGCAAGAAGCTAACTTGTGCTATGAATTCCATTCTTATCTAATTTCAGATACAGTCTGTGCAAGTCAGCTTTTTTTTAAAAAAATTAATCATTCTGTGCGCTCCATGATGTTTACTGCAAGCCTGGAAAAGCAATCACTGCCAGGTTTCTGGTATTGTGATTTTCTCTACCTGTGCAGCCTTTCTAGATTTCTTGCTTGCCCCTGTGGATATTGATATACAGATGGTAGAGCTCAGCACAAACATTTGGTTTTGAAAAGCTGCTTCTAGACCCCAAACCTATAAATCGTTACATGCAGATAGCGTCAGATATGTATTGTGGTTCGTGTTTATAGCTCAGGATAAATTTAGAATAAAAATGTAGCATCTGATTTCTGCAAGTTTTACACATGTTAGCGGAGGCACCTCAGAAAGTATTCAGTGGTTCCTACACAGTACAATATAAATGCAGGTGCATGGTACTTTTTGCAAAGTACGTATGGCTTTTAAAAAATTACAGAAGTGATTGATTAGGGCAAGATTAATTAGGGATATGTCAGAGTAAAAGTTGGGTTTATTCACATATGCAAACACAACATTGAATACTCAGTATGATCACTATAATCCAACTGTGAGAACTATCCTGATTGAAAAGCATTTGTTTGAGACGATACCTGGTGATATAAAAGTTCCATTAATGATAATTAATCTGTCTTTCTTACAGTGATTACATGCATTCCCTAATATGGCTGATCAACCCTGACATAATACCAATATCATGTAATATGTTTATTAGGACCAGGCCCGTAGCTATATTGGATCATTTTGGGCCCCGGCCTCCCGACTTTTCATCACCCCCCCCAAAAAAAAAACTTACTACCCTGGACAGGCAGGCAGGCAACCAGGCGGGCCCTGGACGAGATGCGCACATCAGCTGGCCAGTGGGCAGAGTGCGGGGCTGGAAGTCAACTCTTTGGAAGGCCCTGATTCAAACCCTTCTTATTTGAATTTCAGTGTCCCCTGAATTATTTAAAGGCCCCCCCGATTTAAGAAATCCTGGCTACGGGCCTGATTAGGACCAACCCAATGACACACAACAATGTGCAAACTTTCAATTTCCTGACAACTCTTTTTCAGGTCAATTGTTACAAAATGAAAAAGATCAAATGGCATATTTTAAGCAAATTTTAGGACATAGTATTAAGAATACTTCCTTATACCCTGACATAGCAATTGGTGGAAACATTTGGAGAATTTGATTAAGCTAAGCTCAGAATATTTACCGGCTTGCAGATGTGAGGTGGTGGTAGTTCGGGGGGGGGGGGGGCTGCCAGGCCCGCCAATATTTCCTGGTGGTGGCTGACAAACAGCATCATGAAGCTTCTCAGGCTGTCAACTTCTCAAGTTCAATCAGTCCTGTGTGGCTTTGTAGCAGTATGTTCATGGGAGGCACAGGGCTGGTTTTGTTCATTTTTGTAAAGATAAGAGGGGGAGGGGACCTTCAGTGGAAGAAACCCATCTTAGGAGCTAGCAATGCCGTGGTTTGGAGAAGCAGATATTACAGCTTCTCTTGGGCCAGAGGCCTCTAACCTTTTCAAGCCTGCAGGCGCCTTTGGAATTCTGACACAGCAAGGTGGGCACAGCCACAAAAAGCCTGTCACATGAGCCAGCCACAAAATGATTGCCATAGCTTAACTTCAGTCACACAGTGAAGATTTTTGTGCTATGGTGGTTGCTGCTGCTGCCAAAGCAACATTTTTAAAAAATCTGTGCAGGCAATCAGATCTCCAACAGCCATTCAGAAGCCTCGCTGGGCAGAAGCCCTACCTGGCCCCACCCACTTCTTTAAAACACTTGGTGGGCACCAGAAAAGGTATTGGTGGCCACAATGGTGTCCACAGGAACCATGTTGGGGTCCTCTGTCTTAGGCTATGGTCACAAATGACCAAAAACTTGGTCAGAAGACTGATTCATTGATGGGACATCTGCATGCCTACCTGACGCCACAGGGGCTTGCAGAGCCATGTACCAATGTAATTTCATCAGCAAATGCAAGTCTTCCCGAGTGCAAAATTAAATTACTATCAAGCAGCCAGGTGAACTTGATCACCTTTTACTTGACCACCTTTATCCTAGCCTACCAGGCTGCTCCAGGAATGGGTGAACCCTTGCTCTTGCCAGCCCTTTTGTCCACCCTGCCCAGATGCAATCTGCTTTTGTTACCTTTCTGGGAAGCCCCCCCCTGCTTAACTCAGTCAGGAGCCACAAAATTAGTAGAATATCCTGGTGTTGTGTCCGCTGACCGCCACCAGGGGCCAGCGAACACTCCAGAGTTTGACTCTGGAGTAACAATGGGGACTAGGCTCCTGGTCTCTCCACGGGGAGACCAATGGGACTGTGGCGGGAGATTTAAACCCACCAACGGGACCTAGGGGTGTGTCCCCAGGTATGTATATAGTTGGCCAGCCGGCCGTTTGTCTTTGTCTTTGTTGTGTACCAGTAATCGATGCTGATTGCGACATCAGTCTCCGTGGTTTCTTCATGCGTTCAACCCACTACTCTTCACCTGGACTCACCACGAATTCCTGGACCTTACCATTATTTAATCGATATCATTTTGTGCTGGTTCCTATAACTATCGCTGCTTTGCCAGCAAAAACTGTGTAGTCTCATTCTCGCCACTTGTGCAAAGACTGACAACATTGCTTTTCTTTCTCTGGGGCTTTGTGACATTTCCTTGCCAAACAGCATTGTCCCTCCCCTGCCTTACCTTCTTATTTTTTCCTTGGTATCTTCGGAAGTTTTTCCTAAAGTCTCTATTCTCAACCTGTGGATCAGTGAAACAGGCAACATATAGTCTACCCAGCTCAGCAGACTGAGAGCAGGTAAACTCCTTCTATGTGTTCTTTTCTCTTAAAAACTCTTTCCCCCTTCTTTATAACCCTTTGTCTCCCACTCCTCTGTTCCCTGGTGCAGAATGCTAATTCAGCCAGAGGTATGACTCTTTCGCTTTCTCACTTAACTCTTCACACACACAAGCCTTCTGAACACAAGTTTACTGTTCTTATGGTTGAATTCCTGTACCCTATATTTCCTTAAATAAACTCTAGACCTTTTCTGGAAAGTTGTTTCATGGTTACTAGTAAGCTATTAGAGGGACTTTGAGCTGCATATTAACCAGCTAAGGATCCCTAAACCACAAGTTCTGCCCCCTCATTGGCGTCTGTGTCAGTTTTCCAAGCTAGCCAGTGGAAGCGGGAAGAGGTTTCCAACTGGCAGTAAGCTTAATTCTTCCAAATTGGTTCAGGTTCTGGGTGCGTATTGGGCTTCCAGTATCATGACATGAACCCAAGTTTGAGAGTCCATGCATATCTAAGGGTATACATGAAAGGGAGCACATGTGGTGATAGGAGAAAAACTGCTTCCCTGAAGGTGGCATTTTTTTTTTTAACTACCTAGGCCCTCTTTTAAATAAAGAGATATCTCCATTCCATCAGGGGTTGTCAATTCCAGCTTGGGAAATTTCTGAAGATTCAGGGGTGGAGCCTGGGGAAGACAAGGTCTGTGGAGGGGAGGGAGCTCAGTGGGTTATAATGCCATAGAGCCCACCTCCCAAAGCAGCCGTATTCTCTAAGGGAACTGATCCCTGTAGTCTGGAGGTCAATTGTAATTCCGAGAGATCTCCAGGCTCCACCTGGAGGTTGGCAGCCCTAATTCCATTTCAGATTTAGACTGGTGTGTTTGAGTGTATGGATTCAAAAGCTTGTTGTCCAAATATTGGTAGTTGTGTGGATGGGGTGAGCAGAGGCCTGTGGCCCAAATGGTGGTTGATTTTGGTATCCAGGGACCTGCTTTAGAGAAAAATAAATGGAGATGAGACTATTTCTGTCTTTAGTTATACGTGTTAGGGAGGGCATGAGCAGAGGCCTGTGGCTGAAATGGTGGAGTAGGGTTCCCAGCTCTTGATTGGGAAATAATGGGACATTTTGAGAGTGGAGCCTGGGGACGGTGGGGTTTGGAGAGGGGAGGGACATCAGAGGGGGTACAATGCCATAGAACCCAGCCTACAAAGCAGCCATTTTCTCCAGAGGATCAGACCTCTGTAACCTGGAGACCAGTTGTAATTCTGGGAGATCTCCAGCCACCACCTGGAGACTGTATATCAAAATGAGAGCTCACGGGAGGAGATCGTATCAATATAAAGACACTCTGTGAATGAATGACGAACAAAAGCAGAAAGATTATATTGTACAAAACAATTCAAACAGTTTTAAATCTTGGTTAAAGTTCAACAAACCCTTATATATTCTTAAAGAGCTAGGATAAAAAAGTACTTGATACAAAGGGGAAACTCTAAACGAAGTCCACAAATCCTTTGTATAAACAGCTTCAGGAGGACAAAGGTTCTGCGTCTGCAGGAGTAGCAGCGATGCACAGCTGGCTTCAATGCCGCGTTCGCTTTTTGCTTCTTCAGATAGCTGGTACCCTTTAGCTGTGAAACTGAAAATATATTTCTATGTCACATCCACTATATTATAACATATTTACTGCACCCTCAGTTGTCAGAACATACATACTTACTGAAATGAAGATTCAACAATTCTCCTTAAACTAGTTTTCCAAATCCAATCGCCCCACTGACATGTTCTCTTTCTGCCAATTAGGCTTCTACAATGGTGGTGGTGGTGGTTAACACTCAACCATTACCATTAAGTATGTACTGACAACCTGAAGTCACATTATTCTGACACAATTTACATCAGTACATAATATCCTATTTTGTATTTTTACATTTCTAAGAAAAAAAAATCTAATGAAACTGGTGGGCAAACCAAAGGAAGGGAAACTTACCTGGCACAACATACTTGTATACAACCACCCAGGAAAAGGTGGGAGTCCCAGAGCACAGATTTTATTCCTAGGGACCATAATTCCACTCTGGGGGCTGTCATTCCAGTCCCAGAGTAGGTTATCTGGGCCTAAAAACCTTATTGGAAAAACCATTACACATTTTCTTTGCAACTTTTTTTGTGCTGCAATGTATTTCAGTGGAGTCCATGCATGTCAATTGGCATTCCTGGCTCCAATTATCTCCAACAGGCCTTCAAGCCTCTCCCATTGTTTTCAATGGGCAATCCTGTCATTTCTTTTAGTACATCCCTTTGAAACTGTACCACACCATTTTAAGTAACAGCAAAATGAAGAGCATGAATGTGTACAGAGTGCACATTTCTTGCCAATGTTCTTTCTGGGCTGTACACAGGACAAAAGGAAATTCTAAAAGGCCTCTGATCTGCATGTCTCCCCCAATCTCACACAGCAGAACCAGAGTTTCCAATTTCAGCACTGAAGCTAGGGATGCCGGCCTCCAGGTGGGACTCAGGGATACCCTAGAATTACAGCTCATTTCCAGACTACAAAGATCAGTTTCCCTGGAGATAATGAATGTTCTGGAGGGTGGACTCTATGCACTGTGCCCCACTGAGGCCCCAGTCCTGCCCAGGCTCCATCTCTAAAAAAGAAAGAAAAAGAAAGAAAGAAAGAAAGAAAGAAAGAAAGAAAGAAAGAAAGAAAGAAAGAAAGAAAGAAGCAAATAGATGGGGGGGAGAGAGAAAGAAAAAGAAAGGGAGGGAGGGAGGGAGGGAGGGGATGGAAAGAAAGCAAATAGATGTGGAGAGAGGACAGAAAGAAAAATAGAGAGAGAGAAAGGGAGGGAGGGGATGGAAAGAAAGCAAATAGATGTAGAAAGAGGAAAGAGAGAGAGAGAAATGGAAAGGGAGAGAGGGATGGATGGAAAGAAAGGAAATAAATGTGGAGAGAGGAAAGAGAGAGAGAGAGGAGGGAAGGAAGGAAAAGGAAGGAAGAGAGAGAAAGAAAGAAAGAAAGAAAGAGGGGAGAGATGAAAAGAAAGGAAATAGATGGGGAGAGAGAAGTGAAAGACAGAAATAAGGGAAGGAAAGAAAGAAAGGAAAGTCAGGCTGGAGTGTGTGTGGGGGAGCAGCTCACTTTCTTCCAGCTCTCACACACCTCAACAGAAAGAGAAAGAAAAGAGAAAAAGACTGAGAGAGAAAGCCCCCCCACACACACACACACTGACTGCAGGAGAAAGCGAACCCCAGGATCTTCTGTGCTGCTGGAACAGTGTGCTCTCTGTGGGACAGAAGTTCCTGAGGCTCGTCTTCTCCTGCATCCCAATTTAAACCGCAGGAGAAAGCGAGCCACTTGCTGCTGACAGTGCTGGCAACCCAAGGCCACAGAGGAGCGCCGGTCAGCCGCATTGCCAGCCC